TTAAAATGCATCATTTCAGTTAGGGTGAAGAAAAGCTTTTGGCTTCTCTCCTGAGGACACAAGAGGGCGCATCGAGCAAAATATTACTAATGCACGTTTCTTCAAAGCGTAATAAAATAACACGACTATCTTTGAAAAAAGTGCATAATGTTTAAAATAATGTTCCTTATATAATTAATAAAGTTGCTTTAAACAATTAGAAACAAAACAGCATCATGTATGTATGTATAGTTTAATACAAAGGACCGAAAACCAATCACAAAGAGTACTTTCTTCATTTAAAAACATGAGATGCAGTGGGATGGGGAAAACCGCCATAAAGTTTCGAGACATGTTTTTTAAAAGTTGAACTTACATTAATTTTCCATGGCTTTCTAAACATGCAGCTCTCTCGTGTGAGACGCGACTGCAACGCTGATAGATGTCCCTCTAGAAAATGCGATAAATATGCGTACTGTGTGAATGGCTTGGTTTCGGTTTTGACGTAAACAACATCTTCCCCCGCATTTATTGTTCTCTTTTTCTGCAATATATTGAATGAACAACGCAGCAGCGCCGCATCTAGTGGGTTCAACTGGATAGGCTAACAAAAGCATTAAAATGCAATGACACATCGTCGTCGCATTTCGTGCGCCACTGATAATACTGCCTGACGCACACCTAAAATTAGAATGCGGATTTTTATTTAAAATTTGACGAATATTCGAAATTCAAAATATTTTTTGACAGCCCTATTAGGCTGCTGTCTCTTTAAGACCTCACGCACAGATCTAATAAACTGTTACACGTGCGTTTTGCTTCTCAACTGTTTACATTCACTTAATAGCCTTTATACCGAATGTGTTTAATATAAACCCACTGTGTTTACGTGAATTTGTGTTGACGGGCATTGTATGTATTTGGCCATTTATGCGCAATAAGACGCAAAACAACTAATTTCTGTAGTTTCAGAGGCGTTTTTACGTGTGCATGCTTTGGGTGTGAGCACACAGAAAACAGTCTCTCAGAGTGTGCGAAAGTTTTCTTTCACGTCTTCTTGCGCTTGAATGTTTAAATGGGTAAGACTTTAAAGCACATGCAGTTGATACGTTGCTAAGTTGTTGTTGTCTCTCCTTGCTATCTACAAATAATTTCCCCAGTTATAACATTGTTTATTCTGAAATTATGCTCTGAACTGATTAATGATGCTAAATGTAGATGAAAAAAAAGTCTCAAACCTTGGTCTATTTGAACGGTCAGAGTCATATATGTATGACAGATAAATATTATTGTATTTCTGCATTCTCGTTTTCGGTGGTGTTTTTAGCGAACGTATCAATCTATTTCGCTGCTCACTGTGTTTCTGCCACTATTGTTAAAATAACATTGTCATCTGCAGCTCTTAAAGGGATAGTTCATCCAAAAATAAAAATTCTGTCATAATTTCCTCACCCTCAAGATTTTCTGAAGAATGTTGGTAACCAAACAGTTAGTAGACATTGACTTCCATGTATCAATATGGCTATATGTATGTATCCATAATAGGGCTGTGCGATTAATCGAAATCATCATAAAATCGCGATTTGAGCTTGCGCGATTTCTAAATCGCTTTATAG